TTTTTTGAGTGTTTGGATTTTTTATTCCACAACCAAAATTTTTCTGTATATTCTCAAATTGTCAAAACAAATAGTGAATTTCCTAGAGGAGGTTAGAGCTTCCAAACGCGTATGCACAAATCATCGATCACGGCACGCAAAGAAAAAACTGAGTTAAAAAGTGCGACAGAACTTGTTAAACAATCTATGATGATTCAATTAAATGAAATACTCTCTCCTCAGTGGAGCACCTCGGAATGTACTTGTTGAGTTCGCTCTTAGCGCCATTCTTTGGGTATTTTGACCACAGGGAGGTAATTTGCTAGACACTTATGACTTATAGCAACAACAATCTCTTTAAGCAAGTGAATCGTAAAGTATAAAACCGCTTTCTTTCATCACCTACCATTTATAATACTGCACATTTGGTTGTCCTGATAATAAAGTATTAGGTCGGTCCGAAAGTTCCGTCGTTTTAATTTCAAAAATTTGTAACGCATCAACAAATTTGTTCGCACTTAATTTCATTGGAAAGAAATTCTTTTGCTTTCGAACGCTGTTTTGCAGAGCTTCTGCTTCGCACTGACTGTAGAGATAAAAATGAAAAGTGAGATCACGTAAGCTTTGATCATTCTAAGTTAAGTCGTCAAAAATCTAGGAAAATGCGAAAAAATGTGAACGCGTCAGTATAGAAGTCAGATGACATGCTCTTTATAAGCGAGAAAAAGTGTGCTGTTTGAATGTTTATGAAAGCTCCAAAATTGATTGAATTGTCACTTTTTTCGAAAATTAAAATTTTTCACAGAGAAGTTCAAACATCACAATTTTTCTTCACTTTCAAAGAGCATGTCATTCAACTTCTATACTGACGTTTTCAGATTTTTCTGCAACATTCCAGATATTTGGTGACCTAACTTAAAATTAGAGCTTACATGGTCTTCCTTTTCCATTTTTATCTTTGCATTCATTTTGAAACAAAAGGGCGGCAAGATAGTATTCGAAAGCGAAAGACTTCCAATGAAATTAAGTGGGAGCAAATCCGTAAAGAGTGCGCAAAATTAAAATTTTTTGAATATAAAAAGACAGAGCTTTCGGACCGACCTAATGCATGAGCTACCATGTACTATTGCTGCAAAGTCAACATCAAAAGATTGTATTATTATTCGATAAAGCAATGTAAGCTCTACAAAGAGCATCAAAACGCATCTCACGGCTCCCAGCGGCTCATGCGCATACCCTCGCCAGAGATTGCTAACCACGCTGATTCTATTTTCCATGAATAGAAGTCGAAAAAACGAAATTTGGTTTTTAGAAAAACCAGAATAACCCTCCTCCCCCCATATGGGTGATTTGATAGTTTTCCTGAAATTACAAGCTCGGTCAGCTTCTTACAACGCGAAATATCAAAAGCAACGCAAAACTCGGAAAACGCACTTTTTCGTAATTCTATCCTATTCTTCTTTCTCATTTTCTAGCCATGGAAAAATCGCAACAACTGTACTTCAGAATATTAGATATGGCACAATACTAGCAACGTTGGAATTCCGTAGAAATATTTTGAATGGAGATGCAATTTTTGGGCGAAATTTTCAAAATTGTTCACTTCACTTGGAACCAAGTCTGCGAAAGTTTGAATGCCATCTTGTAGAGCCTGCTTTATCCTATAAACCCCTGTCATTTTATTCTCGCCTCGTCACGGCAAGATTAGATGCGACAACATGTACAAGACAACAATA